GTCAATCTAAATATAAGGTCTTTCAACTTATGAATAACGACATTTGACATACGAGGGGAGGTCTGATAGCCTTTTTAATTTCGCACCCGCACACATACGCGTGATGGAACCTAGGTTTTGGCAATGCAGCATCTCAGCATACCCCCCCCATGTCAATGCTCATTTTCCAACGATGTGGGAGTTTGGCAATTTGGCTGGTGACAATTTCCAAAACAATGTTTTGGTTTGTTCTGCAAGTACACTGAACATCTACATGTTGAACTCCTCTGGTGCTGAAGTGCCGTCGCACAAAGGCACCTTAAACCTGGCAAATAACCAATAACTGGTAGGGACAGTAATGTGAGTTCAGGGCGATGCTGGACTGTCTGACCAGAATCAGGATATTCCCTATGTAGTTTACTTCCTTTCTGCTTGGGCAAGCGTTGTCATGCTGAGACGACAAGTGCAGGGTGCAGCAGCTGGTGCCGTTTATCCCATTCTTAAAATATTGCACGACATGTAAACCATCTGGGCAGCTGGTGAATGTTCTCACGTGTTATTTGCGCCTCATCACGATATCGCTGGTCACAGCACCTTCCTGATGCAGAAACCAAATAATTCATCGCTGCCCGAGCTGATGTGCCTTAATACTTGTCCTTGCATATCATCACCGCTGTGTCAATCTCTTACTCTCACAATGACTGGGATTGGAGTTCGTATCCGCAACGACCACTACATGGTGGCAGATACCAAACCTTGCACTGAATATGGTTGGTTGTTCAGTAGCATATACCGTTGTGAAAAAGGAAACAAACAATAAATACTTTTAGACCGCCCCTCGTATGTCAAATGTCGTTATTCATAAGTTGAAAGACCTTATATTTAGATTGATCATTGGCATGAACACTGCCATTTGACATGCAACAGCCACATTACACTTTGAAGGAACACAATTCCATTCTGAAGTCTGAATCTTCTGAAATGTACATGCATGCAGGCGTTGAAGATAATGACTAAATTGTTTCGTTTGGAAATCCATTAATGTGTTGAATATTGATATTTTATTGCTTAATGCAAGCATATAATGGAAATAGCAATGTTTATGAGCCAAATGTGAGATATGCATTGGTCTGGTTTCTTAACCAAGATTCCCATCGCTGTAATTTCAGTCATACCTTTCGTTCGGGAATTTGCAGAATTCAAAATTTCAAAAAAATACACAGGCATGAAAAGTAAAAGTAACAACACGAGTAATATATCAATGGAAAGCGCTTGGAGAGAGCTTTCATTTGACACTAGTTACACGTTTATATCTCGTTTAAAACAGGAAGTACGAACCGCCAAAGTTGGTGAAAATAGGCAATTTTGGACTTTTCGAATTTA